TAGACGGGATTAAACTCAGAAGGATGCTGGAAGCACACCAAAATGTCTGCTCTCCTTCCTGCCCAATTTGGCCCATTGTAAATAAAACTTGACAGGCTTTCTTAAATCAACTTAATAATGTGTAGCATGACTGCTTTCCAGTGCCCGGTAGCTAAACCACATCAGCTTTCTTAAGAAGCCTTCTAGAAAAAGGCCAAAAAAATAATGGCTACTGCCAAGAGTGTTGTGCACTGGAGCACTGGTGGCCTTGAGTGACTCACTTCACAAGGCTCCACCTCTCTATACTAGAAGGGCAGAAGTGGGAAGGAGTTAGGCCTTTAATAACCCAACTCAGGCCTCAGGCTTATTTGTTAAAGCCAGATGCTGTCATTTTGGAAGCAGATGAGAACACAGTTATAATCATTCTGGAATCCTGATGAATTCCAGGTGCACCTCCCAGCAGCCTGGGGGAGCTGGTAGCTCAAAGCCCTCCAAGAGTTTTATTACTAGTATCATAGCAGGCTATTCCATTACAGAATCTGTGGGCCTTAGCATCTTTCCCTCTAATTTCAAATGGGAGCATTTTTGCCAGACTTTTGGAGACACTTTCTTAAAAGCAGTTTGTCAAACTTATCAAAGAATAGAATGCAAAAAAGTAGGAAGACTAAGAAAAGTTGGAAAGAGTAAGGTCTAGGTAGAAGACTTCAAGGTTCCTAAGGGAAACTGGATCAAATAGTGCTTATAACTCTAAAGTTGGGGCTAGTTCATGTCCTGCCCATAAGCGTACTTTTATGGCCTAGTGGATCACTAGCTATGGTCCATGGTATTTGGGAAAGAAGAAAAAGCATGATGAGAAACTCAAGAAGTGTTTATGGTGGCTAGGCTTCAAGGGCACACAGCCTGAGTCTAGCCACATTTTAGAAACGCTTGCCCATTTTCCAGGGCTGTTTCTCTAGGCTCCTTGTCAACCCTGTGCCTTTCTCAACATCCTTCCAATCAACCCTTTCTTCTGTACATTAGAGTCAGTTTCTGGTTCATGCAAACAAGACTCTGCACTAATGCAAATACCAACAGAATGACCTTTGCTTCAAAACGTTTTATTTTTTCTCCCTGTCGGGTAGGCCAACTATTCAAAAACATACATTGCAATGCAACTAAGAAAGTATCGATTCAGACAAGATGGTAATACATCCCTCCACATGGCTAAATTAGCCAGTAAGTGAAAAAGAGATGACTCCTTGTTCTCACCCTGGTCTTCAACTCAGGACCATAAATTTTCATGAGGAGATGTTTCAACACCAAAACCAGATGTATTAATTCCTTTTATTTAGGGGAAAATTTTTTAAGAGAAAAGAATTCAAGGAGTACATGGTTGACTGAATGGTTTAGTCTTTACGTACACCTTACACTCATTTTCAGGGATGTCAGAAACCAGGCTTGGAATAAGAATTCATTTATCATCAAATACATTGAGGTGATATATGTGCTTACTCATGGGACCTCCACTCCCATGAAAAGCAAGGCCTTGGGTTAATATTCTTCCTGCCATCAGCAATCATTAAATTGGAAGCACCTCCTCTTTTCCTAAAGTACGTACTTCAGACATGTGGCGAAATTCTTGGCAAAAACACAGAAAAACAAACTTGTTGAGATTGTGAATTTAAATTGAAATGTGAGAAATTTAAAGAATCACACATAAAAGTCGATCAAAAGCTAAAAGATACCTTCCTTTAATTTACATTTGAATTAATTTGTGGTGGTCAAATAAGACAGAATGGATTTGTTGGCTCAAGAAGTAGAGAGGGAAAACATCCTGCTACATTCTTAAGACACATGGTCTTTAAATTTCCCTTTAGAATCTGGTACCATATTGCAGCAGTATGCTTGGCTGTGCCTTAACAATGATCAAAGCCCAAAGGGACTGGCTTCTCTATTGCACATTACTTTATCTGCAAAACAAGATACTGATGTCTGATGTGGAACCCCACGACTACTTTCCATCAGTCCTCCTGGTGAAAACAGGGAAAATCCCTTCATTTTTCTTTAGGAAGTGAATGGAATCCCAACTTACTAAAAGGGATAAAAAAGCTTTAAAAACAATCTTCTTGAAGGTAAAGACTTTTTGTTGGCCCTACTCCCTAGTATCCTACCTAGTACCTGCTATGGTACTCTCTCTCTGCCATGATCAGCTCAATACAGATTACTCTCACCCAAACCCTATCTGCACAAGCATCTGAAATCCTAAGTACAACTTTTCCTGATCAGGAACAGCTGCCTCCCACATCTCCCTAAACCCAGAAGATTCCACTGACATTTTTGCCAAAATGATTAAAGAATACACTATTAACTGTGATGTATGAGAAAATAAATTCCCTCACATAAAATAGGAGAAAAGAGAAAAGGAAGAAATTTAAAAGACTCTGGGCTGACAATGGCATTACATTAAAAACAAACAAACAAAAAAGGATCAATACAAATACGCTTTTCACCCTAAGACTGAACAGATAAATGGGTTGATGCTCTTTTGACATGGACACCTCCTTAAGGTGAATGCATGCCAAGAGGACACAGAGAACATGGCTCTTGTCCCTTTTCTTCCCTCATGGCATTGTTTCTCTAACATGCAAATGCCTGTCCAAGAAGAATCAATCTTCAACACCATCACTTATATAAGTAATTACAGAAATGAGGCAGATTCTGGTCAAAGCTTTTAAAATTCTAAGTCAAAACAGGGGTGCCTGGGTGGCTCGGTCGGTTAAGCGTCCGACTTCGGCTCAGGTCACGATCTCGCGGTCCGTGAGTTTGAGCCCCATGTCAGGCTCTGTGCTGACAGCTCAGAGCCTGGAGCCTGTTACAGATTCTGTGTCTCCCTCTCTTTCTGACCCTCCCCTGTTCATGCTCTGTCTCTCTCTGTCTCAAAAATAAATAAA